TTTAAACTGTGAGAAAGAAAGGTTGATTGCATTACGTGCTTTGATTGGTTCTCCTTGTATGCCAGTCTTGTTAAGTTTCAGTAAGCCGATCCCGAGATCTTAGGCTAGCTGGAGTCCTTACCTAGGAAATCTGAATTAGCCGTTAAAAATGACATACAAGATTTAGGTTTGTTTTCTATACACACAAATATACCTGTTAGATGCAGCCAACTATTTTTTCATGCTAGCTTTATTCATTCTTTATCTACTAAGCTAGAACTGCCAGGTTGATCTTCTAATTTCTTCAAGGTTTTGGCACCCTTTTACTTTGTTCACAGTTACTGACAGTGTCCCCACTGATCATAGTAATAACAATTTCCACTTGGTTGCTTTGAAGTGTATGGTATCTTTTAGCAAAATGATGCTTGAAGTTCCTATCACGAAATGTGTTACACGAATTGTGATTTTGACTCCATCATTTCAGATACATGTTTTAGGTTGTGTATCAACTCAAGTAATAAAATATAGCTTCATGGCAACAAAAACATATTCTCTCAGTAGTATTTATATTTTGCTTTATTTAAATAGTTATGTTTTCATCAGTAATAGAACAAAAGCCAATATATTGTCTTTTGAGATGCTGATACATAGGATAACTGACTAGGATGTTCCACTTTCTTACAAGTATCTTTGCAAGTTTCTTCTTTCCTCTTTACTTGAGTTTGGAAATTGGCTCATGATACCTGCTTCCGAGGATACATTTCAAATAACTGAGCAAAGCAGACCATAATAGGCAGTAATTATTCTGGAATCTATGAAATAAGTTGCTCTGTTTTGTTAGGGATTTTCTTTACAGGTGGGTAGTAAAATGAATGGTTTGTTATTTATTACTCATATTTTCCCCAATTTAATATATTTTACTGTACTTTACCATCATAAGCCATTGACTTTTCTAAAAGATTGGAAGATGAAAATTGTATCTTTACAGGAAGGTTGACTTCATAAATAGGTGATTAGTTATCTCCATGTTATATAAACACTTCTAAGAGACAAAACTTGAGTAGTTCATGTTTATTTCAGTGACATAATAAATGGTGTAACTATTGAGTAAGATTCTTTGGTACTAGCTCAGAGAGATGATAAGTATTCAAGTCTCATAACTAATCTTTAATTTTGTGAATTCTGTTTGTTCAGTGGTAATGTCTTAAAACACAATTACAATTCTCAAAATTGTGTCATTTTATATCACTGAATAATAAGTCTTGACATCTGCATCTTATGTAGTTAAAAGCTTACTATCAACCGTTTCAACAATAACAGTCTACATTTTCTAGGAAATAGATTCTTCAAAAAACATGAGAAGTTTTGACTGTATGACTTCTTGATTCACTTGAAGCACCGTAATACAGAGGTGCTTAACAGATTTACAGAAAATTTATTCTTAATTAGAGAGTTGAAATCTTTCTACTGAGTTTTGGAACTGAAAGTGTAGTAATTGATCCTAAGAATACAATTCTAAAACTAGTAGAAAAGTTACAAACTGTTGGTGTCAAGAACCCAGGAAAGACAAATGCTATGATCAGATTGAAAGAACCAAAATAAAATGGGAAGGATCCAATTACAAAATGTTTAGCGAATCAGAAAAATTAGAATTTTGCAGGCTCCGAGTTCAGATGCTTTTGGAAGACAACTTGGCCAAAGTAAAGCATATAGGTGAGGGCAATGAAGCTAATCTAAATACAGTAACAAAAGAAAAAAAAACATTTTGAGACTGTAAATTATAAGAAACTTGAAAACTTAAAGTTGACATTTAAACAAACATATGAGAATAAAGAAAATCCCAAACTGCATAAGTATGGAAATGTGTTTAGCCAACAAAATATTTAAAGTGAGGAACCAGAAGACAGAGCCTTGACTCTTTGTAATACAGATGAAAAATGAGTTATTTAAATGATTCACCAGATTTAGGTTTGTACTCCATATATGTAGTATTCAGGTACATTGATATCCAACAGCTAAAAGTACATGCAATAATGCAAATTCAGGAAATGTTATGTAAAGAATAAACTCGACACAGACAGCAAAGTAAAAAACACAAATGAACAAATAAAATAATCTTTATTGACAAACATGCTTATGTTTATTACCATGTGGCCAGCTACTATTTCTCAATGTGGCTTCAAATGGCTAATGGAGTAAAGAGGTTTTTCAAAAATTTTCACAGGACAAGGACAGCAAAAGTAATGTAACACCACACTTTAAAGTCAGACAAAGAGGTCATAGAGTGATATCCCATTTTCCAGAGTAGACACAAACTTAAGGTCACATTGGTAGCAGTTTTTATATGGAATAGCTGTTGCCATGCATAGCTTTTACTTATACAAAAGGATTATTAGATGTTTACAATCCTTAAATATCCGAGTCCCAGAATGTCATAACTACATACAGAACATACACAGAAACATTTAGATGAATTATTATCTTAATAATGGCAAATCTTAAAGTAGTTATATAAAGGTGAAATTAACAATTATTTCAATTGTGGCACATAGATACACATCTACAGGGTGCAGATAACATGATCAGTTTTTACTATAACACTCTTCAAACTCATGGATAGCTTCTTAAACATAGATATAATGTTCCAAAAAATCTGCACACTTAACACTATTTTCAATAAACATTTATATTCAGATTTAAAGATGTTCATTACCTACAAACAGAAATGATTTATATTAATTTTTCTGGACAGATAATTACTTTCTTTTTCTAATTAACTGACAGGTTTTAAAGTGCAAAATTTAAGTAAATGCTCAAAAATGATCCTTTTTCTGCCATTGCAGTATTATAAAGCAGAATCTCTGTTCACTTTCTCACCCCCAAAATGGTGTTTTCTGCCAAAAATATGTTGCCTTAAGCATTAAGATAATGACTGAACTTTTATTTCCATTATAAAATTTACCATATAATTATATTGACAATAAAATTTAAAAGTTATAGTTTAACTGTCTTAGATTATCACATTTGGTATGGTATTATATTAATGGAACAGACTGCTTATTAAAATTGTTTATGTAACTATGTGTCCTTAGTTGAACTACCAGGTAACACAAACCTTCCACATTTTTACAGCTTTACTAGTAAAATGAGGACAAATTTGGCTGCCAGTACACTTATGAGCCATTTTCCTCACCAATGTCTGTAGTATTTTTTTTTAATGAGAGATAGTTATCTGTTCAAGCATAGATTTTGGCAATTCAGGAATTAGAGTGAAGAAGAATGAACAATACTGTATTCAACTCCAGTTTCTCTGTACATTATTTGTTGATTCAAAGCTTTTGAGTACAGTTATATGAAGTATGATCATCATAGCTTTAGATGTGATATTCATGTGCTTCCCTTCCTGATAATGTTAAATTTATTAATTTTTTTACTTTATTGATGTATGAGTACATATATTATTAGAGAATAGAAAGATGAAAAAATGACAATTAATATAAGTAATTATTTTACATACATGTATGTACACTGAGTGGTCACAAGTAAATAGACACCT